AACTGCAAGATTCAGGTGCCACTGTGTTGGCTGGCAACCATGCAAGTCTTTAGAAAGGAGCTGAGAATGTGATAAAATATCAGGTCATGAGCAAGCATGCAGGAATGTGTTATCAGTCTTTGAATGTGTGAGAGTTTGGATAACAGTTTGGTAATAATAAATATAGAGGGAGTAGAGGTAGAAAAATATAAACCACAATATAGTGCAAATATAATAATAACAAACAGATGGCAGCTGAAGTTCTTTGGGGAAATAGGAAATGAGTGGATGGAGAAAGAGGAAATGAGTGTGGATTCTACCCTGGAGGCTTTGGTAGATGGGTGAAGGGAAAACCAACACCATCTGCTGGGGTGTGTCAGATGAAGCCAAATATTAATGGGATGGCTATGTCCCTTCAGTTATGGCTAAATGGAGCTCACTGGAAACATTAGAACTCCGTCTGGGTCTCCCTTATGAGTGACAGGATCCAGGTACTTGAGCCAACTTCCACTGCTTTCCCAGGTGTATTAACAGGGTGCTGGATCTGAAGTGTAACAGCCAAGACATGAATTGATACCCTTATGGACAGCAGCTTAGCCAATGTGCTACAACACCAGCACCCTAAGTGCTTGCTTTATTTAAAGCATTGTTAAGGACTACAGAAAAGAAACCTCAAAAGATCACTCTGTGGAGAGGGATGGTGGTCAGTGCTATGGTACATCATGTTAAACTGCCATCTGCAGTACTGGCATCCCTTGTGGGCACTGGTTCAAGTCCAGGCTGCCATATTTCTGATCCAACTCCTTGCTGTTGTGTCTGGGAAAGCAATAGAAGATGACTCAGGTACTTGGGCCCCAGTACTGGATAAACCTTCTTGCTTCAATCTGACCCAGCCCTTGGCCATTGGGCCATTTTGATAATGAACCAACAGATGGAAAACTTCTCTTTCTCTTCCTCTCTCTATATGCTCCTGACCTTCAAATATATAAATAATATAGAAATATATGTTTTTTGAAATTCCCCTTGGGGCCATCATTGTGGTATAGCAAATTAAGCTACCACCAATAATGCTGGCATATTGTATGGGTGCCTCTGCAAGTCCCAGCTGCTGTACTTTGAATTCAACTCCCTTCTAATACACCTGGGAAAACAGCAGAAGATGGCCCAAGTGCTTGGTCCCCTACACGCTTGTGAGAGACCCAAATGGAATTTCATCTGTTGTGTCCATTTGGGAAGCAAACCAGTGGATGGAAGCTGTCTCTCTCTTTCCCTCCTTCCCTCCATTCCTCCCTCTGCCTCCCTCTCTTCCTCCCTACTTCCCTTCTCTTTTTCTCTCTCTCTGTAACTCTACTTTTCAAATAAATAAGTTTTTAAAAGATCTCTTACCAATTATGTCTAATGCAGTGGGACTATTCTGGTCCCAAACAATTCATATGGGCTAGACAGGCATATTCCTAAAACAATCCAGAAATAAAGCATCTGTTTATTTTCAAGATGATTAAACAAAGATATTTGGCAGCTTTCCCAGTGACCTTTGATACTTTAATAATATTCCCTTTTGCTTAAAGAAAAATGTAAGAATACAGATGCAGTTCTGTAATGTGCCAATCAGTAAATGCTACTTTATACTACAAATTTGTCTTTTCTTATAGGACAAATAATAAAAAGTTTTGTGTGAGCCGTAAATTGTCATCTCCTGGTAACAACTTCTATTATTATGAACACTGGTAGAAGAAACTGGTTTCTCAAGAGGACTTAAGTATTTGGGGCACAATTCCAAGGACATTGTGTTCTGCTAAACATCAGCCATTTCTACTATGTCAGTTCTAAGGCACTTTGGAAAGATAGTAAGATTTCGGAGTATAGGCATAAAACATAAGGAGATAAAAACTCTGGAGTAATAGTCAAGTTTGTTACTGAAGAGCAGTGATCATTTGCAAGTAGTGTTCAAGAGCTTCTGCCATGCATACCCTTAGGTCACAGAAACTTTTCTTGCTGAAAAGTGGCTAGAGATTGAAAACTGGCTGACATCTTGGTAAAGGTAGTTCTCATTCAGCTAAGAGACATCCCCTGGCCTTGGTTCTAAACTACATTATGTATATTCTCTCTCTCTCTCAACTACTTTAAGGATTCTCTCTCTCTCTCTCTCTCTCTCTCTCTCTCACACACACACACACACACACACACACACACACACACTCACGCACACAAAGTAGTCTCAAATTGTCTAATATAGGAGTAGGCAATGGGAACAAGGAGCCCTTCTGGACACTTTGTAAGACAGAGGCAGTGTTGTGTGGTTGCCGGCACCCCATACACATGACATTTCTTTAGCAGGTTTGGATTTTCTGTGAAATAAGAATTCAGAAATGGATAGTTGCAAAACTAGAGAACGAAATCCTTTATCTACTTGGTGCCTCTGTCGAGCTTTCTTAGAGTGGGGCTTTTGTGATCTTTTAAAAAAAAATTCCATGGCACCTGTTCCTAGAAAGATTACCAGACTACCTTCTCTTCTTTGCTTGCACTTCTGCCACCTTTTTGTTATGAAGGCTCAGATCATGGAATCATAAAGACCTTTCATGGAATTATGTTCAAGTTGGCATTGTTCTGTAAAGAACTGCATTAGGAATGTGGAATACATTTTGTTAAACTGTAATGCTTTTCCTAATGTTCCTAGTGACTGAGAACATGAAAGTTTTTAATAAGACTTTTGAAGCAACCAGTTTTGTAGGAAGATATTCTTTGAGTATAAAATGTACATTCTACCCAGGAAAATACATACTTTTTTCAGATTTCTCTTAAGGGAAGAATTATAACAAGAACCAGCTATTCTGAAGACTGCCCAAGCCATTACTTAGCACAGCTTCTGTCCTCCCCATAACTATTTTTGTGTTCTATGTAAAATGTCTCTACCCATTTTTCTCAGAACACACGTTAGCCTTTTCCAAAATTGGCCCTCTTTCTTCAGCAGTCAACTTACATCCCTAGGGAATTTTAGTTTCTATTTTTACTTCCTAGAAATGGGAAACATGCATGTGGAAGACATAAAAGTTTCACATTTCAAAGTTTCTCTTTCTTTCAGATGAGAAGCTTAAAATATCTCTAGAACAAAGCTATCTCCCCATTCCATCAACCATATAGAAGTCAGGAAAGCATGTTTTATGAGCTTAGGCTTTGGGAGCAGGAAATTTCCGTTCTGCTATTTACTAGCTACTGTCACTGGGCTTTAGTTTCCTCATTTATAAAATAAAAACATCAGTAGTGCTTGCCTCCACAGGACTGGAATGTGCATTACATGAGATAACGCATATGAGGAGTTTTAGCTGGTGTCAGGCATGGGAAAAAAAACTCAATAAATGTTAGTGATGATGGTGGCGATGATGATAAAGGATTTGGTGTCTTGAAAAGTTGTACTGCAGCATTACAACATGACATTTTCTGATAGAAATCAGATCGCACAATCTGCTGAGGTTATTTGATTTTTGTTATGTGCAAGGGAAAATTACTTCTTTTGTCAATTAATGGCTGCCATACATTCTTACTCAGCTGGACAATGTGTGTGTGTGTGTGTTGTTATACCTTGTGGTGATTTAGAGTTTTTTTATGTGCTTTTAAAAAATGCAACTTTTAATATCATGCAATACACACAAAAGGGCTTCTATAAATACTTTTTTGACTAATAATCATATTTTTTTACAAAATTATCATAGTAAACATAATCTTGACCTTATGAATATTTAGAAGACATTTATTTAGTTTGTTAATTTTCGTTTTCTTTGAAAGGTAGAAAGAGAGACACACAGAAAGATTTTCAATCTGTTGATTCATTCTCCAGTGCCTGCAAGTTTTTGCAGGCCAGGTCAAAGGCAAGATGCAGAAACCCCATCTGGGTGGGTCTCCCACATGAGTGATAGGGACCTGAATACCCGAGCTGCTGCTTCCCAGAGCACAGATAAGCAGGAAGTTGCAATCTGGAGTGAAGCTGATTAGGAATGCGGACATCTAAACTACTGGACCGGATATTCTCCCCAAGACATTTTTTTTTTTAGAAGTAGAAGGAATTAAATTAGCAGAGAAGATCACAGAAGCTACCTTGACCTGCTCTTCTTTTTATAAGTATTCACATTCCACTCACTCTGTTTTTTTACTTAAAACAGGGCCTGTCACACAGTAAAATGAAATAATTGCCAATAATGAAACATCTTCATGTTAGAGGTCTTTGTACCAAGCCATGGAATCCAAGTTGGGGTGACAGGAAGTAATCTACTGAAAGACTGTGAGAGACCCTACAGAACTGACATGAAACTGGAGGATGAGCAGAGAGCAGGAGAGGTCTGGCAAGTTAGAGGCAGGAGCAGGCACTGTAGTCATTCTAGCAAGGAGCATCTCCTAGCACACTGCCACAGGAAAAGAGAAACCACAGACCCTTCTGTCTTCTATATCTGGGAGACTATTCCAGGGTCACACAGCAATGGGAAAACTTTTGCTAATCTCACTGTAATTGAGGCCTATATAGCTAAATTATATTCGCTACATTTAAGGAAATCCTTTTGCCACAGAGGATATTGTCACTTTGAAAATGGCTGACTTGGGCCCAGCGCAGTGGCGCAAGTGGTTAAAGGTCCTCACCTTGTGCGCCCGGGATCCCATATGGGCGCCGGTTCTAATCCCGGCAGCCCTGCTTCCCTTCCAGCTCCCTGCCTGTGGCCTGGGAAAGCAGTCGAGGACGGCCCAAAGCTTTGGGGACCCTGCACCCGCGTGGGAGACCCGGAAGAGGCTCCTGGCTTTGGATCAGCATAGTATCGGCCCGTTGCGCTCACTTGGGGAGTGAATCATTGGACGGAAGATCTTCCTCTCTGTCTCTCCTCTCTGTATATCCGCCTTTCCAATGAAAAAATAATAAAAATAAATCTTTAAAAAAAATGGCTGACTTAAACTGGTTATTTTGTTTCGTTTTGTTTTTGGAATGCTTCTTAGTTTCTACTGCTTTTCAATTGCTTACTCTTCCTTTTATGTACCAGGGGAAAACTTATCCATTTCGTGGTGCCTTTCCTCCAGTATGGAATCCCATCGCCTACCTAGATTACAACAACCTGTGGCGCACCATGGACAACATGGGAAAGGAGGTAAAAGTATCTGTTGACTTTGCACATGGCCCATTACTGAAATAAAATGGCAACTTAAAAAAATATTATTATTTTATTTTGATGATCTTTACATAGTTATTAGAGCACAAAGAGTCAAGGGCTACAGGAAAGTGGGTAAGACCATTGTTTCCACATTCTCTTTGTTCTTTCCTATATCTGAGGGAAGTGGGGAGATAAAGGGAGAAGCCACACCCACCTCCCAACCATCGCAGGGTCCCCGATATGGGGCATGCTCCGAGGTCACTGCTCAAGTGGTCCCAATAGTTCAACAGTTCTGAATTGCTGCCAGTCTTGCCATTCCAAACACAATGAAATCTCTTCAGAATCCACTGGCTGCTATAGTCCACCTTAGAGTTTCCGTTTACTCAAATTTTCACTGCCAACACTTGGCTGGGGTACTTGATCAATTTGTTCAGTCCTGCCATGGTACCAGTGTCCTCTGCAGGCTCTAATGTACTGCCATATCTTCCATGTGCACCTGGATATGCTGTCCACTGCTCCATCTGAGCCACTGAGGAGGCTCAGCTCTGATACATGCACTGCATGATCAGACCATAGAACTTTCATGGTTGGGGTTCTGATTCCAGCAGTTTAGTTTGAGGGATCCCCATAGAAATTTCATCTGAGGTGATTCCAGACCTGATGATTGTGTGTGTTTGCCAGTACAGGGTCCAGCACAGTCCATCGCCTCAATCAGCTTATGCACACATTGATGGTTACAATTGATGGGTCAGTTCTACCCTCAGCCCTGTCTTCTACACAAACCAATGGGTGCTGGAGCCCAGCCCAATTCTGCCCAACATACACTTGGCCCTCACGCAAAGCAGTGGGAGCTGCAGCCTAGTTACAGTGACCCTCAATAACCCTCATCATGCCCTCTGCCCTGGTTCCCGTGCTTGCCAGTATGTACAGTCTGTCCCATATCCCATTCATTTCTTATACATGTCAATGGGCATTGAAGCCTAGTTCAATACAACCAGCCCCATTATCAAGCCCACACACATGCTGGTGGGTGCTACTGTCTGTTTAGCCATGCCTGCCCCAGTCCTGGTTTTTATGCTCACCAGTTGGAGTGGCAACCCAAGAGAAAGGTGCCCACTATTTCCCTACTGGGCCCACTCCACCCCTGGATTTTTCACTCTCCAGGTGGTTCTGTAGTTTGACTTGACAGAATTCCCTGCCCTCTCTCCCCCCAACCCATGCCAGCATCTGCCAACTGATGCTGCCCAACCAACCCACACTCACTCTGGCTTGTGCATGCACCAGTAGGAACAGTCAACACAACCTGACTTTTCCCTCATCCAGCTCACATGAGGCCAACAGATGTTACTGTAGTCCTACCTGGCCTGTTCTGTCCGCATCCCAACTCGTGCTCTCCAGTGGGACTGGTGGTCCAGCAGGGGAACCCCATGCAATGGCAACTGTATAATATCCATCCAAAGTAGTACAGGGAACATTGCACTGTATATTGATGCATTTTTTTTCTAACCCATAAGAACTGTGGAATCTGGTAGTATTTCTTTTTTGACAAATGATGAAAATGAGTGACCAAAAGTTATGTTATATCTAAGACTACACAGTATAGAAACCAGGATTCAAATACCCTCTCTCTGATACTGATGCCTGTGGGCCTTTAAGTAACTGAGCATTTAAATGACATATTTTTTTTCTTATATATCTCGACTTTTTTCCATTTAAACTAGCCTTTTCATTTTACCAGCTTTACTGAGAAATAATTGACAAGTAAAAGTTATATCTATATGTGGTGTACAATAATGACTTTTGATATATGTATACTCCAGTTTAGCAGCTAAGAATCAGAGAGAGTCAACTGAATCAAGGCATACATATGTCTTTCAAACTAATTTTTGGTACCTGTGTTTCCTGTATAAAACATTTTATTTACAAACTTACCTGGGTACCCATGAAAAATATCATAAAATATTTATGAATTAATTAAACTGATATATATCAAGGGCTACCAACACACTGCCTTCTCAGTGAGCTCTAGATTACAGAGATGTAGTTTAAATAATTTTATAGGAGCAATACATGTTACTTTAAATAGAATTCACACATATAAAATACACAATCCAGTATTGAGAATTGTTTGACAGTCACAGAGCCTTCATTTTTCCATTGCTACTCTTTAAGTTTCATTTGCTAGTTGATTACCATTGTCTCATGCTTCTATAGTTAGTAAAGGAGAAAAAGAGTTGCTGCCCCAACGATTTTTTTTCTTGGCCACAGGCTCCATAATTTCACACTCTGAAATGTAATTTAGCATCCCCAAATGGGTATTAATCCTCAATAATAGTAAACATTGATAATGATCATTGTCATAATAATCCAATTACATACAAAATCATGCATTAATCAATATAAATATTATAGCTAGCAAAATATAAATACTATAAATATTATTGTTTTGGCAGTAGCATTAAGGCACAGAATCCAAACAGCTCTTTTCCTCCCTGATCTCCATGTACAATTCTGTGCCAGTCACACATTCCAATAGAGACCAGGAGACCAGGAGACCAGTTTTCAAAGTTTCTCAGGTGGGCCTCTCAGCTGGGCCATGACACTGACCATTACTTGGGATCTCTTTTCACTGCAGATTCCAGCAGATGCTCCTTGGCAAGCACCTCATGCTGATGAGTGGGACAAGATGACCATGAAAGAACTTATCGATAAAATATGCTGGACAAAGTAAACTTGACCATTTTAAATTTGCTTTTATATCTTCCATTCCTGTGTTTTCTACTATGTTTTGTGCCATATTGCTTTTCTTAATAATTTACAGGAAGTTTGTTGAGAAGAATCCTAATATTCTTTCAGTCAGTAGCAACTTTGAGACCACTTTAGACATTTCAGAGCAGATTTCAATGGGAAATAAATCTGTGCCCTAAAAAAATAAGTAAATGAGGTAGAATTTCTTTTAGTAAAAGTGTTGTGAGCTTAATAAAACCAATAATTGTGTTTTACACTTTATAAAGATTGGCCACAAAAGCAATTTGTAAAAGTTTAAAGTAAGTCCACATAGATGGCTAGTCCTGTATAAATAGAAAATATAAACTATATGTGTTCAAATCTGTACTAATAATGTAATTACTTACATTTCAGTAATATAGTTCTCCTTGCTTAACAAGACAGTATGTACTTCACTAGGCACTTTTGCCATTGGGTAGGCATCATAGAATGTAATTCACATGAACAAGGACATCTATAGCATCCCTAGGTGTTGTATTCTTTTGAGGCTATCATCATACATATAGTCCCTCATTGACGAAAACACCGTTTTTCAGTGCCTGGCTGTACTTGCTTATGTATTAGTGTGTATAATATTTATATAATTATTTGAGATATGTGTTAGAGGCCTAATATGCGAAGACACTATACCAGGCATTGAGGAATGGTGGTAAACTAAATAGAAATTATAACTAGTTTCATGAAGTTCACATTCCTTTAGCAAGAAGTACTCACAGTGACCACATAATGACCTAACAGTAGAATAGTGCCTGCAACAGGAGGAGCTTACCTTGTCTGAGGATAAAAGAAAACATTCAATAATGCATTATTTTAAAATTGAAATTATGGTTATTGCCTCAACTAAGAATGCACCTCAGGGGTCAAGGGAGACACAGAGGATGAATGCTTTGGGGGAATAATATCATCTAAGAATAACCTGTATGATGGAAGAAACAGGAAGGGTAAATACTGTGGCAGAATAGTATCTTTTGCAACTAATCCACTGTGTAGTTTAGAGAAAAGAAAATGATATCTCCCAGGAATGACCTGAATGGCTAATGCAAGACAGGGAATCTGGGATGATGTCTGAGTCATAGTGCATTGTGGAATGAACCACAGAGGCACTGATAAGACAGATAAGTGGTATGTGTGGAAATGGCATCTTTCAGGATTGAACCATAGTTCGATAAGGGGAGTTAGGCAAAGTGTATATAGTGGGATGGTATCATCCAGAAATGACCCACCCAGTCAGGGGAGAAAGGGTGGGTAAAAGAAATTGGTAGGATAGTATCTTGGAGAGTGGTGTCTTCCAAGAATAAATCAGTTAACCTGGAGGAGGAGGGAAATATTGATTTAATCGGTATGGTATCTTCCAAGGATATTCCAGAGTTGCAGGGGGAATTAGGAAGGTGATTATTGATAAGTGGGAATAGTTTCTGGGCTGGGATGAAACAAGGAAGGGTGAATGGGTTTGAAGGACTGCTATCTGGAGAATGAGCCACTGAGGATGGCAAAACTGAGGTCATCTTCCAGGAATGACCCATTTTGGCTGGGAGGAGACAGTCAATGGATGATGTTGAGGACAGGTACCTTCCATGAATGAGCCAGGTTGAGAAGAGGCAGGAATAGTTAGAGCTGCGAATGATCCACAGGATCAGATGAGCATCAGGAAATGTGGATGTTTTGGAAGCAATTGTATCTTCTAGGAACAATTCATTTTTTTCTGGGAGAATAAAAATAAACTTATAATGTAAGGGGATATCTCCAAGCAATGAGAAAGATACTTAGTGTTGTTGACAAGATGCTATCTTTCAGGAATGACCTACCTGGGTAATGGGTAGCAGGAGTGGGTAGCTAATTGAGAGAGAGTAGTATCTTTCAGAAATCACCCACATGGTACAGGAAGGAGAAGTGAGGGGAACTGGGAGGGTAGGTGACTATTGTAATGGAGATGATATTTGACACAAAGAATAGGGCCCAGACTGGCAAGGTGGATAGTATTCAGGGGTGTCCTTTAGGAATGGCTCACAGGGACTTTGAGTGAATGGTATGTTCTAGGGCAGAATGATTGTTGAAACAGTTCTGTGAGTTTGCTGCGATTGTTGAACCAACCTCCTGTGATTCCTGCTACAGACTGATAGGCTGTAGCAACTGAGTGCTCTGTATGCCAGGATCACAGAATGGCAAGAGTGTGCAGTATTAGAGAAAGTTGCAGTATTTCTGTAGCAGCCAGTGTTACACGATACATTGTAGGCATTTGTGATTTGGCCTTTCTCCATTTTAAGCTGTGGAAGGGTTTTAGGCAGAGAGATTTTTGAGTTTGCACTTTTAGACCTCATTGATTATTTTATAAAGTATGGAAAAGAATTCACGAGGGAATGAATAGAAGATGATCAAATAGTATCCACCACTGGTGTAACCAAAATGAGGGAACATGGTAACCTGGGAGCAGGGTGAAGCAGCTAGAGGGAGAAGAAAGGATGGTTGTTATAACAGATGAGAAGTGTCCCTCTTGATTACTGGCAAACATAGTGACAATTTAGACAGACTGGATTCTAAACATTTGGACCTAAACTGTAATTTCTTAAAATTCTTAAAATTAAATCTTTAAAAACAGAAGAATACCTTGTTCCACCCCTCAAGAGCTACAAAAAATGATTCCTTCAGATGAGCCCTGAGATTTTTTTTCAAAAGCAATGAAATTACTTTCTAAATACCTTATATTTTCAAAATTTATAATTCTTTGGCTCATGTATATGTAAACTGCTGACTTACACTCTTGTTCTGTGAGCAGGACTGCCAGACACTTCGCCTATCTTTTTGTTAACATCAATGTGACCTCCGAGCCCCACGAGGTATCTGCCCTATGGTTCTTGTGGTATGTAAAGCAGTGTGGTGGCACCACTCGGATTTTCTCAGTTACCAACGGAGGCCAGGTATGCCATGTCTGTTTTGAGACTCTAACTTCCTGTGTGGTTTCACTTTCACCCATAGCAGTATTTTGAAATATGAACAATTAGCAGCATGAAATGATCTAAAAAATTTTTCTGAAAATTTTTCTATTTGTTTTGTCATTCTTGAAAAGTTCACAGCTAACAGCTATTTCCTTTTGAACTAGTAGGTTTTGGAAAACAAGTTCTTTACATATTTAGATAGGAAAAATAGGCTAAATGTAGGAAGCTAAATTCCTAGAATGAAATAAATTCAATTTACAAAATCATTGTACTGGAAAAGTCAAACAAAGTTTTTGACCTGCCTGTTCCTCTCAGATATTTTGGGTTAACTGTGATAGAATGAAAGTGATTTTTCTACCTTCTAGTCACAAAAGTAATTTATGGCTACTGTAGGCAAGAGCAAATTCTGTATTTTAAATTCTTCATTTTAGCTACCCACTTGCATTTGTCCAGCTTCCATCACATTCCCATTATTAACAAAGGAACTCTCGATTCATTGACTGGATCTACAGCAAACTGGTGGCAAAACCAGAATCCTAATCCCTTGATTTTTCAGACTCTGCGATTCTTTGTTTATAGGCTCCTCCTTGTCCAGAGTAAATGGATAACATTTCTAAGAATGCTGTGCTTAGATGAGATGAGCTTAACCAGTAGCAATTCACTTATAACTTATGCTCTGTTCTCTGATTCCCTAAATTCTGAATGCCAGTATGAAATGTGAAGACTTTCTATGCACATGAATTATCGCTTTCCTCAGGAAATCCCTAAGCTGTTCTATGACACCAAAATTATTGCCCATTTGATCCTTATCTTTGACAAATGTAAAGCAGTTTCATTTTATGTCTGTACTTACCAGGCAGAAATTGCACACCACTCCTTCTAACCCATGTTTTACTTTCTGAGTTATCTTGATTGATATTTGATATTTGTATTCTACATTCAGAGAAGCTACAATACTTAAAGCCAAACTCTACTTGACCTTTGGGAAAGTAAGATTCAGCTTATGAATGTCAATCTATTAACATAATAGCTTTGTTGAAGAACTTAACTTTGTCCTTTAGTAATATAATTCACCAAATACTAAGCATGAAGGAGTAAACATGAACAAGATAGAGATAACTCATGGTCTTTCCACTATATTAAACTTCAAGAAACTCGTAGAAAATGTAAGTCAGAATACACATCAAATGATGCTAGTTTTCTTGGACAAATTATGAATTTATATCTGAATAACTAACAGAATATTTTTATGAAGAGCTTTAGTGGTATCATTAAAGGAGTAGCCAGTTATGATAGTGCAAAAAATCACTGTGTGTTTATGATTGGAGTATTTAATTTTCAAATTTTGGGATGTGCTTTTTCTAACCACTGAAAAGATCTTCTCTGGCAAGGTAAAAGCATCATCCTGGTTCTTACCAAATGTACTGTACTGAGGACTTACCTTCTCAGATAAAGCTGGACCAGTTTCCATGGTAAGCATAGCAGATGGCAGTGGACATAGTACTGAAGACACAAATAAGGTGCTTATCCTTAGTCCCTCTGCCTCTGCTGTCAAACTTCCAGACAGTTTTGTATAAAGGTACTCAGGATCCAAGATTCCTATTCTGAGAACCTCATCTGATAATGACAGGTAGGACACTCTAAGTGCATTGCCTACATTTTGCCTTCCTAGATAATCATAACCTAGGACTGGGAACAGCCAAGTACAGTTAGAAACCACATCCTGTGGGAAAAGTGTGAGACCCTCCTTTTTCCAGGGCTCCTTCTATGCATCACACTCTTGGGACATTTGTGGTCCAAAGACTTGCTAAAATGTTTTCATTTGATCAGAGCATCACTGATGTTAGGTGAAAATTTCTTCTGATTCTATGATTTTGTAAACTAATAACAGTTTTTCACTGCTGGAAGCTGTGTGTAGAATAATTGAAGAATCTTGACACATGTTGTTTTTGTCTTTGTGAGCTCTCCCAGCAGTCAAGTGTGCAGAGGCTGAAGTTGTAACTTGTGACTTTCTGGAGGTTAATTAATTGGTGCCAGTATGATTTTCCTTCCTTTGGATTTTTAAACTTTCCCTTTCTTACTGACTTTTGTAGGAACGCAAGTTTCTTGGTGGATCTGGCCAAATAAGTGAGAAGATAATGGAACTTCTTGGAGACCGAGTGAAACTCAATCGTCCTGTCACCTATGTTGATCAAACTAATGACAACATCATAGTTGAGACAGTGAATCATGAAACCTATGAGGTAACTGATTTCAATACGAATGTGTATATATATATATATATACACACATATGGAAATATATATATGTATAAAATAGGCCTTGTGTCTTCTGCAGTTTCTGATGAAATAATCCAAGAAGTGGCATAATTAATGCTGACATATTTCTGCCTCAGTTTCCCTAATTACTAGCATTGATTGACCTAAGTCTGTTTTGTGGCCTCATTTTGTATGTTGTTATTTCTTGGTGTCATTCAAAATATTAAAGATGTTTCATGCTGACAGCAAGAACTGCAGCTCATGTTTAATGTGATATTTTGTTTACGTGTGTTTTAGTGCAAATATGTGATTAGTGCCATCCCTCCAATCTTGACTGCTAAAATTCACTTCAAACCGGAGCTTCCATCAGAAAGAAACCAGTTAATTCAACGTCTTCCCATGGGAGCTGTCATTAAGTGCATGATGTATTACAAGGAGGCCTTCTGGAAGAAGAAGGGTAGGTGGTTCTTATTCAGATTTTAGCTGAATTAAATGAAAGAACAGTGATCTCTTAGAAATATTGAGCAAAATGCTCTAAAAACAATAACAAAAATTACTGTTTTTAAATGGTAATGAAAGTTTCAGAAATATTATTCTACCAACTTGACCACAGCTCTGGCAACACAAAGTGACCCCAGAGGCACTTGTTGGCAGTGAGAGGAAAGGAAAAGACCATACCAGTTGTAAGGCCACCACTACCCTGGCTTCTGGTCTTTGTCTTGCTACTTTCTCTTCATTTGCAAATTAATGCCAAGGGACACTATAGAAAGATCATTGCTTTGAGGTCAGATATCCCTGGGTTTCACTTGCTTACCAGCATTGGTCCTTTAAATATAAAGTGCAAACAGTAATCCCTACTGTTAGGGTGTTCTGGATATAATTCTTGGATGTGGCAGCTCCTGTTGAAAAGCCTTCTGCTCATACGGTATTCCTTTTCACCATTTCTTCAGGACTGATTTTAGATGGGGTGATTCCCTCTAATAATATCTCTGCTTTCCTCCTGTATATTTTAGGATCCAGGGCCATGTTTGTTTGTTTATGCTGTGTATTGGTCATAAACCCTCTGTGTTAAAGGTGATAGAGGTATATTGTTTTCCATATGTGGGGGTAAATAGACATCCTTGTATAGCCAATGTGTATATTCAACAGGAAGTAGCTTCTAGGCTTAGATCAAAGAATAATAGATAAGTTTTACCTTCCTCTTACAAAAATAATTCATATGTATTTTATATGTGTATCAATGTCTGTGATGAGGTTGGTGTCAATCTCCTATTAATTTTTCCTGGTTAAGATTACTGTGGTTGCATGCTCATCGAAGATGAAGATGCTCCAATTGCAATAACCCTGGATGACACCAAGCCAGATGGATCGGTACCTGCCATAATGGGGTAAGTTAGAACTGGGAGTTTTGCATTTTCCATATTATATTGGTAGGTTAGTGTAGACCTTGGCCAAGTATATTGTTTTGGAATTGAGTTAGGGCAATGATAAGTATCCCTACAAAATTGTATCATGTTTCCACGGATTAAAACATTATAGTAATATCTGAGTTTGGTACGAGAACACTGGGACATCTTTCCAAATTTAACACCATTTGAACTTGTGCCCATTTTTTTCCCTCCCATAAAATGTATATGCTGAGGTAGAAATGGAAAGAACAGCTACACAGATGATATGGTAGCCAGCTTTGCCTAGAGATAGCAGGTCTGTACCCATTGTGGAATGTAAACATCTTACCCTATAAAACCTATCATATTCAAGTTTTTGAGCTTTAAAGCTTTAACTTTTTCTCCATCGAAAACATCTGCTTCGAATAAATGTTAGTTTGTTACACTGGGATCAAGGATGGCTGTCCAATTAGGAAGGGTAGATTGAACTAGAGCTGGGCCTTGAGTGGATGGCTTGAATTTTCTGTCAGATTTTCCATAGTTATCTTTCACCAACGATACTTCCTCCACCTGTGGAAGTACAAGAATGGTGCAGGATGATTATGTGTACAGGAGGGAGTCCTTCCCATTTCCTTTCATCCCAACACATGGTTCCCCTGCCTGTAGAAGGCTAGGGTTCCAGAGAGAGAAGTAAGCCTGTTACAAAGACCCTCCTAAGCAGCACCCTAACCTCCCAGCTGCATGCTCTTTAGTCAGTCAAAAACAATACAAACAAATTATTTTTTTCTGCCACATTTTCATAAAAGAATGCAGCCTCAGCAGTCCAGTGACTTTTAGACACCAGTATCTTCCCCGTTTGCTCCTGGGAATACATGCCTCCTGCCAGAAGGAGAGGTGAGCTCATGTATATCATATCATTGAAGGAAATCTACAGGGTCCAAAGGAGCAAATCAACATCCCAAGGCAGTTAGAAAGCAGGCTGAGCTACTGGACTTCTGGCAAGACATTTTATGACCATTTCACTAACTGTAGCTATGAGAAATAGTACCAGCATCCCTGAGAAGGGCAAGTGCTTACAGAGTAATGACTATAAGAATAATACATCCCTTTATCTCTAGCTGCATTGAGAAAGGAAGGACATAAGTTGTTTTGTATTTGAACCACCACTCATATGGGATGCTGGCACCACAGGGAGTGGCTTTACTTACTATGCCACAGCATTGGCACCTGTATTTATTAATTCATTAGTTTTCTTTGAAATTGATAAATAATAATTGTAAGAAAAGTATATAGAGTGTAATGTGATATCTCAATATACGTATACATTGTAGAGTGATCAAATCAGCCTGATTAGGATTCCTATCATCTCAAATATTTATCATTTCTTTTTAATGAGGACATGTAAAGTCCTCCATTTTAGATAGTTTGAAATATAAACTATATTTGTATCAACTAATTACCCTGCTTTGTAGGAGATCACCAAAACTTATTGCTCCTAACTTTAACTCTGTACCTGAGGGAAACTAGAACTACCTCCCCAAAATAAGGATTGCTGAGCTGAAGCTAGTTAAGATGGGGAGGGGGGTGGAGACTGTCTTCCTTCTCCTCTAAAAGCAAGAGAGAGATTTATAAAGAGGAAAGGTCTTTTTCTCCCCCATTTCCCATCTTTAGACAGGATGTAGGATGTAAATTCTCCCTTATTGGAGACAACCCTTTATCAGCTCAAAGAAGTGGAGAAGAATTTACTCCATCAGTGCCTTTCCAGATATTTACATTCTCACTGTTTCCTGCCTTTAGAAACCTGGGACTGCTTTTATTTTTTTTGATCACTTATCTAGAATTTATGGTTCTTTGTTAGGTGTCCTATATCAGGCAACACTCCTAAGCCACTGCCTTGAGTTAGTATTCATTCAGGTTTCTCCCCAGTGATACGCACTGCATGTCTTAGCCACCTTTCTCTTGTTAACCTGTCTTTTGCTACAGAAACCTGTATTTATGAGGGATTTATTGGGGATGAGGGAAACGTTTATTTTTTTCCCCTTCATACTGGTTGAGTAACCTCTCCAGTTTTATCAAGACAATTGCCTCTACCCTGCTCTTTGCTCTTGATAATGAAAGCTTTGTAGAGACGTGATCCCATTCTACTGTTTGCTCTTGGCCATGAGAACCTCACAGATAGGAGTGGTAATTGGCCTGTGCTATGTAATAACCAGCACCTTTTGGGAACTGGAAAGGACCTTGTGCTTTATAGCTGTGAGATATCCCCAACACAAAGCCAGCCAGCTCTTAAAATTTCCACAATAAAAAACCAAAGAAAGTAAAAGGATATTCGTCTGTTTTTATAATGAGGTCAAAGAGGTTATTTAATTGATGACTTGAAATTTTACAAAAATAGCTAGGATTAAAAAGCTTTTATATAAATCATTTAAACCTTTCATCAAATACTAGTTGTTATCTTTTAAATACTACATACATCTATATTGAGTGATTCTTGTATATACCTGAAATTTGAAATCACTCATAGCAAGCCATGACTTGAAGTGTTAAATCAATCAAATTATGATTATTCCATAATGTTAAGTTGTTTGGATTTCTTAAATATTCCGTAGATCCTTTTGAGATAGCTATTTTTGGGGTTAACACATTTTGTGTCTCTGTTTCCCAGGATGGTCTTAAATAACAGTTCTAAAAGCATTGTCAATCAAATTGAGGAACAGTTTAATTTCAGGGTGGAGAGATGAGGAAATATCTGCTTCCAGCCCTTGCATTTTTAGCCCTGATCTATTTGTCTTTTGGATCTAGAACAAAAGAAATACAGTTTTAAAACTATTTTCTGTTGGATAAATAAGTTCATTGTCCTTTAGCTCATTTGGATTTTTGAAAGCTTTCTAATAATAGTATAACTAAGGAATTTATGTCACAACTCAATTCTTTAAAATATGTAGGCAATTAGTAATGCCAGTATAATAAATAGAATCTATTTGATTAAAGGGAAGCAGACAGATTATGACTGAGTTTTTAATAGAGATACTTTATGTAGGGACTATGCTAGATCATTTTCCCAGGAAACTGCCTTGGAGATGAAGACTTGAGAGCAAGAGGTTTACTGGGAAGTGGACTGGGGATTGTTACCTATGGCAGCAGAAGGAATCAGGACTAGACAGAGGGAGAAGTTCAGCTTTAATGTGGTCCCAGCAAAGGCCTCAGCCTATGGGAAACCCTGGGTCTCAGATTTGTCCTAAACTGACCCAAGGTCACTGGATATCAGTTGCCTCTGGAAAGGTTAAGAGCTGGAGCCAAGCAGGTCTCTGTTAAGTGAGTTAACGGTCCTACAGAGAGACATGAGGACCCAGCCATGACATTGACTGCATACATATACTTCTATGTGTTTTCCCAGCTTTGATCAAGAATTTGGCAGCAAATAAGTCTTCATGTAGCACAACATTATTAATTCAGCCAGCACATTGTGTGCCCAAAACTGTTATGGGTTGAGCATCAAATATTGAGGTGGAGATAACCTGTCATTTAGGAGCCCACAGTCTACCAGAGATTTTGGACACAGCAGACAACAAAAGGCCACATGACATTTCCTCTGAGAGAGGACGAGGTCTAGGAGAGTTCTTTAATTCTGAGTGCATAGAGATATAAACAATTTCAAAAGAAGGGTAGTGACCTAATCATTCAAATGTAACCTCTCTCTCTAGCTTCATTCTTGCCCGTAAAGCTGATCGGCTTGCCAAGCTTCATAAAGAAATCAGGTAAGACTGTATCATTTGAAAAAGAGATGAAAGGTCAGTTTCATATTTTGTTTGTCTCACTGACAACAATAGAATACCATCGGGAAAAAATACTTTACAGATACTCTCAAAACCCCACAATGAGTTTACATATTAGTATTCATTTATAGTAGTTGAAAGGTAGACTTTATCTGTAAGAGGAATAGAGAAAAACAATAGAAAAGATAAGCTGAATGGGGGAAATCTTTGTGACTTGATCACTTCCTAAAAGGCCTTGTCTCATTAAGCCATTATATTTCTTCTTAAGTTCCAGCATAAGAATTTTGGAAGGGACATGTACTTTTCCAACTATAGAAACCAGAAATAGCATATTACATATAGTTTTTTCATTATACCCACTAAGCTTGACATTTTCTTTTGGATTTCCTGCTTGCTCTTCTTATTAATAATACAATAAATAGCAGCCTGGAGGTAGACATTTGGTTATGATTGTACATGGTGGCTAAATGTCTCAAAATATCTGAGAAAGCAAGACCCTTACTGAATATGTTATTGACAAAAACAGAGATTTTCCAGGACTAATTGTATCGAAACTCCATAGTGGATGTTTCTTTCTTTTAAAAATTGTATGTATTTATCGATTTAATTTGAAAAGTTAGAGATATAGAGAGAGCAAGTCACAGAGACAGCTCTCACATCTGCTGATTCACTCCATAAATATCCATTATATCTCTTGCTGGACTAGGAAAAAAACACACACAAAAACAAACAAACAAAAACAGGAATTCAGCCCACATCTCCCACATGGGTGGTAAAGGCCCAAGTACTTGAGCTATCACCCATAAAGAAACCCAGCTACTTGTGCTATCATGATGTATATTAGCAGGAACCTGGAACTGGGAATCAAGTCAGGACTCAAAGCCAGACATTCCTGTATGGGAGGCAGGCATTGCAGCTGGCTGCTTAATAGCTGAGCTGAATGCCTGCCCGTTTTATTTATGATTTTTTTGATGTGTGGTTTGAACAGGAATTTAAACATCTACCTGATGCTATGTGACATGGTCTCAAGAGTTGCATATGTCTCTCCCTAAAACCTTCCATGAGAAAATAGTAGCAATAACCCATGTTTCTAATTCTACCTCTTCTTTTAGACTTTATACCCATGTTATAGAAGTTCTGAAAGCTATACAAATTATGTAAATTAAAGATTTAGACCCATTTCTCTGATTATATTTTGTCGCACAGTATTCAGAAAAAATAGGGAAATATTTAAAAAATAATTTCTAATGTAATTGATGACATAAAATTTCCTGTATGTACTTCTATTTCTTTTATTATCAGTAAGCATGATTTCTACTCTCCCACCCCAACTCCTGTATGTTTGTGGCCATTTGCTTTTTATGCTTGTCTTAAACAGATTTGTATTACATTTGCTATATTTTTTAAAAGAAATATTACTTGTTAAACTTTAACAGAGTTTGGAGCAGTTTTATACATTTAAACTATCTCTTACGTGACATTCAAAAGATTAAATCAGCTTTGTAGGTTTGTAGCTATTTGAAAGAGATACAGGATAAGTTGCAAGACATTATCAAATGTACTATATGGATATAAAAAGATTCATTATAGAGTTCCAGAAAAATGATACAGAAACAGTTCCTAAGACTGAACTAAATTTAATTAATAATTATTTTATCTATTTCCAACTCAAATTGATGCAGAATTAGATATGGAAGGCAAAAAATGTTAAAAGAAAGTGAATTTTCTTCAATCTTGCAATCAAATGGCTATGCTGAGGCTTAGAAAATTGAATGAATACAGAGATTCATTATTGAGCTTTTTCATTTTGTGTCAGTACATAAAGCCATTGATTTGATTTTTTTCTGTACTCCATTTGATTTACTGGCAAGAGCCCTAGAACTGACTCTCTCTCTGTAAATATATATATTTTATATCCATCAGCATAATACTTCCATAACATTTTTGGTTCTTGTTTTATAGGAAGAGGAAAATTTGTGAGCTATATGCCAAAGTGCTGGGATCAGAAGAAGCTTTACATGTAAGAAATCCCTGGCATAAATTCCTAGCATGTTCAGCTCTGTTTATTCTAAGTGGCAAAGCAAATCAGATTCTGCTTTCCTGACAGTCTTACGAAGAGTGTATAAAGGGTTATGCTTAACTTGGAAGATTAACTTCAACAAGCACAAAAGGCCATTAAAAGTTGGTGTCAGGTGCATGGAGTTTCTGACATAGCAGCTCCTTAGACTGTTTAGGTACTCACTGAATAACTGGCAGCCAATTATGATCAGAGCCAGGAGACACAATTATTATGTCAAGGGTGGGTGAAAGTGGTTCCCAGGACACAGGTCCTATCCTGTTGTTAGTGTCAACTGCCTGCTGCAAAACAAAACCCCACATGTATGTCATCATTTGTTCGTGAAGGAACAGTGGTATTTACATGACAAGATTCACTAACCCTGGACTATCTGCGCAAGTTCCAAGTCATACTAATTTATTTTCCCATGTATAGACTCAATTCACAGGTCATTTAGGACATTCAGCTTTCAGTTCACCACCAAAAGTGATTAGGAGAATGAAATTGTTTCTGAAGAACTTGCCAATACCTGGAGGCCCTTTTAGGAGGTTATATCTGAACTGCTCAAATAATAAACTTTCAGAATGTTAGTCTTAAGAAAATCAGAGAAGATTCTCTCATGTCCCTTGGGGAACAATTTCATCTTAACTGTTCCATTCAAAGCAGTATTCCCATCATTCATGTTAGAGAAGGAGTTAGAAAAGCTTCAAGCAGACCATCCTATAAGCTGATTTATTGTGGGGTTTTCTGTGGACTTTGGTCTAAAAACTTTAACTCTAATCAAGATATTGGGAAAATCAAAGTGTATATATTTTGTTGCTATCATATTTTCCTCTGTTTGTAAAAGGTCTTTTTTATTTGAAGGATACAGAGAAAAAGATTTCTCATCCTCTAATTTATTCCCCAAATGCTTTCAACACCTAGGGTGGAGCCATGCTGACACCATCGAGGTCTCCCACTCAGTTTACAGGGTCCTGGGTACTTGAGTTGTCACCATTGCCTTCCAGAGCCAGAAATAGAGCCATGATTCAAAACCTGGGACTTTGATATGGGATACAGGCGTCCCAAGCAGTATTAACCATTGTATTATAATGCTGGGCCTGATATTTCCCTTTTAATAAGTTAGAACAGCGGGGTCATCTTTCTTTAATATAAAAATTTTAATGAAGTAAAACACACAAGTGGTTTTGTTGTTGTCTGGCAGCATTTCTGCTTTGTTTTCACTTTACAATTGTTTCTCCACTAAACTGCAGCCGGTGCATTATGAAGAGAAGAACTGGTGTGAAGAACAGTACTCCGGAGGCTGCTACACAGCCTATTTCCCACCTGGCATCATGAGTCAATACGGAAGGTACTACCTAAGCACCATACCAACTAATACAAGACATGTACAAAGTTTAGTGGGAAGTCTGGAAATAGAATGAGCATTCCTATTGCTAATATTCTAGATAGTCAATTTGCATAATTCTAGATGTCCATAGGAAAATAAGGAAGCTATTAAATGGAACTATGGCTGCTGGCACATAGAGCAATAGGAAAGCACTGAGGTAGGGACAGGGGACTTAAGATGTTGGCAGTGCTTGTGGGAGTGAGGGAAGATGCAGTGCCTGCCAAGGGGCCTTCCGGAGCTCAGATCAACATATAGTGTCACATAGTTTATGCTGGACTCCTTGGCACTAGTCTACACAAAGGGACATTGGGTGTGTTCATCCAGTGCAGCCATGTTTCCAACACAGCATCAGTTCTTCAGAGGGAGCAGTTCTTACTGTGTGCAGTTAAAGTGTGAGAACCTGGGTTGGAGGACTATAGAAGTTCACCTTAACTTTAGAAGCTGGAGATATTTTGCATTATAGGCATAGTGTCCAGGATCAATTGTTCAGTTACAGGAATACAGTAGCCAGGAAAGCCCAAAGGGATAGCCTCCTAGAAGGAATCTTTGGCAGTTTTCCAAGCCTCAATGCCGTTTATCAAGGTAGGAGTGGAAAGAGGCATTTTTAGCATAAGCAGTGTTGTCTGGTCACATATGTAGAATTACACCTACATCTGCTTTCCAAGGGACAGAGCTAGGAAATTAATGCAAAGTCACATTTGTTCACCAAGAAGGAAGAGTTGTTTATTAGCTCTTTCCTTCAGGAGAATTTTACTTGTCTTCCCCCCCCCCCCCACTTAATCGAATCAAATATTCTTTGTTAGTGAGCAGGATTGATGAACTGGATTAGTTCTGGAGTCAAAGGAGAAAGAAAATAGAAGTAGGATTAGGAATTAATGAATTCCAGTGGTCCTAAATTAGAAAAAGAAATACCAGTGGGCTTCAGTGAAGGCCTTTGGGGTGGGGGCGTAGGGTGCAGTTTGGGAGAGTTCATGATGGTGCCTGCAGATGTAATAGTAGTCCACACCCAAATAGATGGAAGGAAGAGTTGTCCATTTGGCCCAACCCTTCCTCTTTTCTCATTGGCAAGCCCTGTTTGAAAGGGGAGACCCATTTCCTTGGCCTCTAGGCAGTCCCTAGAAAATCAATAGAAATCAGCTATATAAAGGCTGTCTTTCAAGGGGGCACATCTACGTAATCCTTCCAGTCTCCCCTTGCCAGAAATGACCATGAGTATTCCTATCTAAGCACACACCACTGTATTTCCTCCTGAGACACTGAAAGTGCCCACAAGACTGGCTGGGCTCTGTAACGCTGTGAGAGCTCAGAAAGACAATGTATGCCAGTAAAATGGACCGCAAACAGGGCATACATCAAGCGTGACTGATTGTGGATTGGATGCATGTTCTCAATTCCAACTCTAGCTGACTTGGAAAAGGTCAGCATTGCTTTTGGTAATGAATGACCTGACAGCCCTGTCCTCCCTGGCTTGTCTAGATCCTTGTGTGCAGGCCACCATGAAACAAAGAGCAGCCTGTCACCTGGGGTGGTGTCACCCTGGCTGGTTTTTTTTTTTTCCCCACAATTAGAGTTTTCCTATCTTCAGTGAAATAAAATGAGGGCAGCAATTTGCTCATTTTCCTTCAGAGCCTTCCCGAGTAACTCTGTGTGGCTTTTTGTTCCTTGAAGGGTGATTCGTCAGCCTGTGGGCAGGATTTACTTTGCTGGTACAGAAACAGCCACCCAATGGAGCGGTTACATGGAAGGCGCAGTGGAGGCCGGGGAAAGGGCTGCTCGAGAGGTAAGGGAGGAAGCTGGGCACTTGCCCTCCTCAGGCAGAGCAGTGTTCTTGCCATCTGATATTTCTGGCTCTTCTTTTCCTTTGTATGATGCATTGATGACATATGTGAAGCTGAATCTTTGCTTTCTAAAAAAACTGACACATAAAAATTGTACATATTTGTAGAGTACCAGGTGATACTTCAATACTTTAAGCAATGTGGCATTTCCATTACCTGAAACACTTATCACCTCTTTGAGAACTTTGAAAATATCCTCATCTTGTTATCCTGAAACATACAACAAATTATTGTTAACTGTAGTCACCATGCACCACTGTCGAACACTAGAACTTATTCCTTGCATCTAACTGTATTTGGTAGCCATTACCCATCCTCTCAAATCCCCTCACTTTCTACCCTTCCCTGGCTTTGGTGGCCTTTTCTACCCTTAACTTCTATGACATCAACTTTTTAGTTCCAGCATATAAGGAAGGACATATGGTATTTGTCTTTATATAACTGGCGTATTTCACTTCACATAGCATTCTTCAGACTTATCCATGCTGCCACAAATGACAGTATTTCATCCCTTTGGATGCCTGAAAGTATCCTATTATATACACATTACCACATTTTCTTTATCCACTTATTTGTTTAGTTCTTCACACTGATAGAATATGTATGTCTACTTCTCTGCTTCTCTCTCTGCGTTGGTATCATCCATGGCCTGCAGGGCTTTGGCTCTATTGAATCTTTACAACTTTATTTTGTAACGTTAAGGTCACTTTTTCTTTTCAGATTTTGAATGCCCTGGGGAAAGTGGCCAAGAAAGACATATGGGTTCCAGAACCAGAGTCAGAGGTGAGTTTACCATAAAACTCATATCTCTCTTCTTCTGGCCCCTGGTTTATTAAAAATGTGTCTGTCTAGGGCATACCCATGCACTGATTTTACACATATCTTTTGTTCCTCCTGGGAAGTACAAGGATTTTCTGCTAATGATCTCTGTTCACTCATCTAGGATGTTCCATCATTGGAAATCACACCTACCTTCCTGGAAAGAAATCTGCCATCTGTTCCTGGCCTCATGAAGATTATCGGGGTGTCTACATCAGTAACTGCTCTGTGTTTTATCCTGTACAAGTTGAAGCTGCTGCCACGTCCCTAAAGTTTCAGCCTCATGCATTCTACTTAGTCCTACCCCAAACCTATAAAAAAAAAGTTGGCCATTTGTAAGCTGTGTATCGGGCCAGTTTTAAGTGCACTTGATTTAACCATTTGCAATGTAGTTTTAGTCTGTGCTAATATAAAACCCACCCAAAGAACCAATCAATTCATTTTAGTAACATTCTATACTACTTTGTTTATGTAGACTAGCTCGTGTTGATAAAATCTTGTGATTGCCTCTTAATTTCAAAACGTTAAAGTTGAAGTGCTCCTCAGAAACAATTTTTGTGTCCTTGTTTTTCTTTCTTTAAAGCGAAGTATCTGATAATTTCAAAAGTAATGAGTTCAAATTTTTGTCAGTATGCAATAGGTTAAGATCCAGCCTGTGGCTGAACTTTTCCACTTAAACAATTGTGATGTGTTAGTGCAGAGCCCAGAGGCTTCTTAGCTTCCTGAGGTGAGCACTTCCTACATTGGATCAGCAAATGCTAAATGAGACACAGTGGAGTGGGACGTGTGGACTCTTGGTTTAGGGTGGGGGCATCTTGTGGGCTGCTTGTCTAATTCACAGGAATCCCCTAAGCAGATTCCTATGACTTAGCTACCTAGGTTCAGCACTCCAGCATGTTTTGCTCCTTCACTTCTTCCCGAGATGAGCACTTACTGAGTTAGAATGCTGAAATGGATTTGTTGGGACTTGTGTGCACCTCCTCAAATGAGCAGCAGAAGAGAACAGCAGGACTGTCCCTGATGAGGCCTCCCTGACTAGTTCCCTATGAGCCCAGTTCCAGTGGGCATCTTTTCTGCGTGGAAGGTGGCTGGACAGTCAGTGATTTCATTCCATAAAGATTTCAGGAAAGCTTTGTTGCATTTTTTTTTTCAGGTAGCCCCCACATATCTGAAGGCTCTTAGAGGCATATATTTTTCTTTATTCTTATAACCTTAGAAGTGTATCTTTTAACTCATATATCTTAAATGTAGCTATTTTGCATAAGTATTTGCATGCCAATTTATGCTGAAATATGTATGATAAATTTCTGATTATTACTTGTTGAAACTGTCAACAAAGAAAGGAAATTAGGGCTCTATATGATAACCTCATTTCTAAATTTTGTAACAGAAACAAAATTGACTGATTTTATATCTGAAAACTGAGTTCTCTTATAAAGTGGGCTCAGACTGGTGCCCACCACTTACCTTGGCCATTTTTAAAACTGCCAGATTTTTTTAAAGCTCCTGCCAAATATTTCAATTATAAAAGCTTTCTTTTTAAAAACTACAAATATATTTTTTATTTAAGGAGAGTTAAAGAGTGCCAAAAGAAACCAGCCGTACCAAGTTTATTACTCTATTAACCTTATCAGAAATATAAACGTAGTCTCTGGACCCTGGTATGAAGATTCAAGGTCCTCCAAAGGTTTTTTTATCCTAAGAGCAAAGAGCTGGATTTTTTCTGCCACTCTTTATCTTGTGATTCAAAAGCATTTTAGCTAACTTAGGAGTTTCGACAACATCTTGGATATGTTCCAGTACCATCAAGCATTACTGCACATTATATCAAACTGCTTTGAGAAATCTCACCTCAAATCTCAAGCAGTTTTTCTGTTCACTTAATGGTTAACCTAGTCCTGACACACCTTTTGGGAATTGCTGACTTAAACTTCTGAACTAGCAACAGTTTTAACAGTAATCAAATAGATAACATTAAAGTCTTGCATGTTGAAGAACTCTTGAGTGTACCATTTACATTCTTCTCCACTTTTTAGAAAGCCAGTTGATTGATCCTATTTTAGCCAGTCCTGTTAAGCTCTAGATTTGGGTCTTAAAATGATTGCCAGTCCAGATATGCCTAGACGTGAAATTGGACCTAGGAACTCCCACCATATGTGAGGTCATCCATCATGAAGATAACATTGGTATTTTCTCCAAACCAAGAGACAAACAACAGTTTAAGATGGCTGATAGGGTATTGCCCTGTAAGGCATGCCCCTCACAGTTCTGAAAGCTGAAGTTGGCTTCATTCTAGAGTTAGGTTGAGAATTGGATTTGGAAATTTCATGTTTGTCACAATTGACTGCTAAATAAGATCTTATACTCCACTGAAGAAGAATATGTTGAAGGATTGTAAACCCTGTTTTGTTTATGAACTTGGTACCTACTGTTCCATGTCTAAAATTTACCCCCCCGTGCTACATGTGGGACTATGCCTATATGTGTGTTTTGTCATTGAAGTGCAATTTGCTTGTGTGGTACTCTTTTGTTTGTTAATAAAGTACACTACCACTCCTGATTCAGACCCGGCTTTTCTCTACAGATGATGGTTGCATTGGGAAGGTCCAGTGGCTTATAGCAGATCACCACATGAGGCTTATTAAAAACCGTGTTGGTATTGACTTCCAATTTGCAGAGGTGAATTTGACTCTCATGTATTGATGAACTTTCCTGGAAACTGAATGAATTCTACAATACTGTGCTTTGCCTAACTGGACTAAAGAGGTGGATTCTGATTCAAGATTTCTCACCCAATTAGTTCCTGATGCCTTGAGTGTTTCAGTTGGGTTCTCTGTCTTAATCTCCCCATCTGAGATGATTTCTAAGGGTTCTTTCCTTGGTTGCATTATGTGCTTTATGCATTAAATTGTCAGGGATTTTTTTTCTGCCTATTGATAAGGCAGAGGCAAGACATGCAACCTTTCTCTTTCTTGGCCCATTCTTTCTTTCTGGTTTCTCTGGAAACAGACTCTGCGATGCAGAGTTGAGGCAGAAAGCTTATTGGAGAAAACTCTCAGGAAATACACCTAAGAGAGCCAAACAGGATGCGGATGGGGTGGGGGGAAGATCAGCTGCTATATGCAGCTGCTAGAGAGGCCTCAGCAGATCCTAATGAGGAGTGCGGAAGGCCCTGTGAGGGAAGGAGGTGGCCTTTGTGTCCCTTCATCACATATCATCTGTGAGGATGGTCCTTGGGAAAGGGAGGTCCAAGAGCAATTTCTGCTGTAAATTGAGATTAACATTTACTCCTTGCAGCTGAGAACTGTAGTATTTTGCCTGTTTCCTCTCTATCCTTCACACAAAATAGAAAATTACCTTGTCACATATGAGATAACATTGGTTTTAGTTTTGCTTTTATGGATATAATGAAGCTATCTCTGAGAACCTACCCCTTTAGATAAGTCAGCTTCTTAATTTAGAAGGTTTTATTTCTGTACCATATTTTATACCGTATTTTACATGGCATAAAAAAAATCAGAGTTGGGAGGAACACTGGAAGTGATTCAATACCTGTCTTAACAAATGAGCCCCAGCTACAGATTACTTACAGAAATCTCAAAAGGAAAAATGCATTCACAAACACGAGTCCAAAATGTCTTCAGGATTCAATTAGCTAAAAATGAGTGGCAGCAGGCATGAGCCACTAGAGACTAGGGAAGACCACAGCTGACCTAGGAAGGAACGATGTACTCTTCTGAAGAACACTTATATTGAAATTCCTTTGAAAGGCTGCTGACCAATCAAAACACACTTGGCTTAGGTTGGCTCACATGTCCAAATTGTCCTCAAGTCTCTGATAAATGCAAAGCTTGCTTTTGTAGCAATTAAATGACAAATTCTTTTTGGATGCCTTTTATTTTCTGAGAAATTAGTATCAATACTGACAACTGTTGTAAAACTACATGAAGCAGGTAATATAAGTCCACAAGGGCAAAAAGATAGAAAACAAGGATAGAAAAAAGCCCTCTTAGACCAGAACTATTCATTAAGAAATAATGCTTCCCTCAGCCATGGCAGCTTTTACCTACAGAACTGTATCATGAAAAATAATGATGCCAATTAAAAAAAAAAGCCTCACACCTCAGGGGGAACCAGGTTATCCTATTTATGGTCCTTGGATATTTTTCCACAAACCACTGAGATCCGCAGATGAGATGTAGTGGGGTGGAGGAAAGGAAAAGACAATATGGGATGCTTGAAATACCATGAGTTAGCACACCAAATGACAATCTTTCTTTAAAAAGATTTATTTGTTTCATTGGAAAGGCAGATATACAGAGAGGAGGAGAGACAGAGAGAAGTTCTTCTGTCCGGTGATTCACTCCCCAAGTGACTGCAACAGCCAGAACTGAGCCAATCTGAAACTCCACATTGGTGCAGGGTCCCAAGGCTTTGGGCCATTTTTGACTAGTTTCCGAGGCCACTGGCAGGGAGCTGGATGGGAAGTGGAGCTTCCTGGATTAGAACCGGCGCCTAGTGGGATGCTGGCACGTTCAAGGTGAGGACTTTAGCCACTAGGCCACTGCGCAAGACCCCCAAATGATAATCTTGATGGATTGGTATGACCAGGGTGAATTAGAGCCACCCCCCTCAAAAAAATCTTGCGTCATCTATTGCTCACATGTCCCTAGAAAGCTGTGAGTTAAATCATCTGCCTTATAGAGTTGATAAAAAAAGTGAGATAATGCAGGTAAGGGCTTCATGAAGCAAGCAACTAAACAAGTACTAGCTATTACCCATCATCCTTTTAGAACAGATGCAAAGAGTGCACTGTTTGCATTGTTTGAAAATTATTGCCTTATTAGGCACTGATTATGAGCTAGATAGGAGTCCACTTGAAGGAACATACTTGAGCACAGATGCCAAGCAATTCATGAACTGAGGCTTTGGTCAGAAATTACATTACAGAAAAGCACAGCATACATACAGCTGAAATGAGATTCATGGGCAGTTTAGTGGATGTGTTCTCAAACCCCCAATAAACATGTCTGTTTGGGCAGACAGTAAGGACCCGGCATAGGAGAGAGTAAGAAAGTAAAAAGGAAAAGGATCGCCTGGAATAGTGATAAACGACAACAGACGACATCAATTAAGTGCTAAACATTAGGCCCCACTGGCAATACTGTATCCCATGGGTCTTTCTGTCACTGTCTACCCAGTCCTTTCACTTGTAGATCTTTATCAACTGTGATTCACTTTCTCCCAGTTCGCTGCACTGGAGAATTTATTTTAAAAGAGTGCCATCTTCTGGCCAAACATTATTGTTTCCGTCCAATGGAAATCCTAAAGTATTCGGATATTGCCTTCTTGGGAAAATGATTCCTCCAAGTGTGCTTTCTTTTCAGTCTTGACATGGATCAAACAATTTAGTATATTATATTCAAAGCTCTTCCTCTGCCCCAGCCTCTTGGAAAGATGTTTGCACTCTCAGCTTCCTCAGTCTCTGTTGTCCATCCAGCAGAAAGAAAGGTTAAAGGACATTGAGAGGCATGGATTGCTTTCCTATGGTAGGGAAGTCGTGTGGGAAAGCAGGATGACTGTAACATCAAAAGCCTACATATAATAGTGCATGGCCTCTTAAAGGGCACCAAAGAGTTCTGTGGGTAGAAGACAGTTTTAAACCAACTTGAGAAAACCTACCTGGGGTTGTGCAGGTGCAGAGCTGGGGAAAAGAAGAGGTTTGCAGAATCTGCCTTGATGAGCTACAGAGCCAGAAAGGAAGGAGGGGAGGAAGACAAACTTGGCTGGCAGTTGTATGGCACACTAGATACCTATGTAATTCATCACGTTTGGGGAGTGAAAAACTGTTTCAGAAAGAACAGAAAATGAAGCATTGTGCTGGGACCAACCTAGAGTTTCTAGAGCACCCTTGGTTATCTGGGACTGTGAATTCCATTATCCCGAAAACATCCATCTGGGGATTCCAGTCACACAGGTGGGAGACCCAGACGGAATTACAGGCTCCTGGCATTGGCCGAACCATTGAAACCATCTGGGTAGTGAACCAGAAGATGAAAGACCTGTCTCTGCCTTTCAAATGAGTATATAAAATCAGAAAATTGAGAACTTAAGAACACTGCATGGTCCACTACGATTCTCATTTCTAAAATACATCATGAATTTACTTCTCTCCAATACTACTATGTCTTTGGTGGAGTCATCTCTTGCCAAAAATACTCTGGTTTTCCTATTATCAACACCATTACAGCATCTCCAGTGACATTTGAAAGCTCAATCTGGGGGCAGGTGTTTGCCTTTGGGGTTTTTAAGGCACCAGTGAGGACACCTGTGTTCCACATCAAGCATTTGTGGGTTTGGTCCCAGTCTCTGGCTCTGACTCCAGCTTCCTGCTAATTCAGTTCCCAAGAAGCACCAAATATTAGGTCCCTACCATCCAAGTGAGAGTTCTGAACTGAGTTCCTGGTTCCTGGCTTCAGATTGGTCCAGCCCTACTTTTAGCAGTGCATGCAAGAGCTTGCTGTTGTTTCTCTGTCTCTCTGCCTCTCAGGTAAGTTTTTAAAATTATTTTAAAATAAATCTGTTCTTGTTATTGGCTGTTCATTGTGTTTTGGATATGGCACACCATGGCTCCCAATGCCTTACGTGCTCTATTCCTTGCTTGGCCTCAAGCTCTTCATTCATCTCTCCCTCAGAAACTTCCAGCCATCTATTTAGCTTGTCTCATAACTCCTTAGACATATCCCATGTTTTTTTTTTCTGTTTCAGTGTCCTTCTTCCAGAAGGTTCTTCTCTCCATTCCTTCCTTGTCTAAATCCTATTGGCCTCTAGTGAAATGCTGCTTCCTTGGAGACACATTTCCTGATAATTCTTCCCCCATGCTTAATTCTCCATCATGATCTCTTACCACTGTTTATTTTTCTTTGAAGATGTATTTGTTTTTATTGGAAAGTGAGATATGCACAGAGGAGGAAAGACAGAGAGGAAGATCTTTCATCTGTTGATTCACTCTCTAAGCGGCCACAATGGCCAGAGTTGAGATGTTCTGAAGCCAAGAACCAGGATCCTCTTGTAGGTCTCCCACACAGGTGCAGGGTCCCAAGGCTTTGGGCCGTCCTTGGCTGCTTTCCCAGGCCACAACCAGGGAGCTGGATGGGAAGCAGGGCTGCTGGGATTAGAACCACTGCCTAGATGAAAGTGCATGCAAGGGAAGGACTTTAGGAATGAGGCTACCATGCTAGGTCCCACTACTTTTACTTTGCTTCCACAAAGTTGATCTGAACTTAGAATGGTGATTACAAGAAGCAGGAAAGAGAGTGCAAGGGGAGAGGCAGACATATAAAGGCAGGTTATATAATGAGTACCAACACACAAGCAGATACATAGGATTGTTCCCTAGCACAGTGGGGTGATTCTAGTTCATAACAATATATTTCATGATTAAGTAACAGAGAGGAGCTTGAAGCCTCCAAACATAAAGTAGCGACAGGAGAGGGAACTGTGAATTACCAGACTTGATCAGTACACATTTCACAGAATTAATGAAATATCAGATGCTGC